CTGTGGTCGTGGGTGTCCTTTAACGATACATTGAAGCACTAGTGTGTCTCCTTCTTTGATGGTGTAGATTCTCTCACTGATGTTATCATCCTTGACGTTACACGCTGCGCCTGAGTGCACGATCTGGGCGTTGGCTTGAGCTGTGAGTGGATGCATTCATACACACATACATGCAGAGACAGACATGTAGACATGTGGACATACGCACATAAACACACACACACAAAAACACAGAGGGAGAGAAACCACATAACATATTTAGTAACAACTCTGCAGCTCATTGTCTTGTGGGTGCATGTATCGAGGACTCAGTTATATTACAAACTCCAACATCTGCATAAAAAAGCCTTCTGACAGAGTGTTACATTAGTAAGTGTTTGATGAAAGACTTGATTTGAACTTTGGTCTCCATTAGAAGGTCAAAAGCTGATTATCTTCTCTAGAAGAGTCCTTTTTTCTTACATGGCGTTTGATACAAGACTGATCTTAGAAGTTAAATTCACAGAATAAATATTGGTTTAATGAAGTCCTGGTTGTAATTTGAATAGTTGTGTCAAACTGTGCAATATCGGTTTTGAGGCCAGTCATTTGGTGGGGCCAGGGAAAAAAGTGCAACATGATATTTTAATTTCCAAGTGAGTCCATGGTAAAAGAAAACATTGTAAAAGCTTTATGATAAAATGCCACTGTATTCGACATGATGTCATGCTCTGATTGACTGATTAGTGATCTAGGATGTGAGCAACAGTCAGTAAGGGCAACATGTATATGTCAGTAACATAAATTGAATAGCAAAAACAAATGATTGTTTATTCGACTCAGGGAGAGCTTCATGACAATATTTAAATATATTCATAACCGAAATCCCAGGCCAAATCTTTCAATTGAAATTATATCAACAAATTGCCTGTAGCTCCTTACTGTTTTTTTTTTCAAAAGGCTTTGACTGTAACCGCAGAAATAATGGATTGCAAATGCATGATGGCACATCTCCGAGTTGCGACAACAGTATCTGAGCTGCACATGAGGAGGGCTGGCTCGCGTGCAAGAAGCCTCACATAACTTCACCTCCAATATGATGAAGGGAGACAGGAGCGAGGAGGGGAGAGAAGAGAAACAGCAGGTGAGGAGGAAAAAGCTAGAGAGAGGAGTGTTAAACCCCAGAGAGAGGAATGAGGGGGGGGGGGTAACACAATGATGTGATTAGCATCGATTCACAGGGGGAACACATTTTCACTGTGCTCTGCGACTTTTATCATTGAACAGACAGGAAGGAAGTGGGTGGCCTGTTCACCTTACACTTCAACTCGATCAGACATTACAACTCAAAGCTTGTTAATAGCCTAAGGTATAGGGACATAGCGAGTGTGCCTGTCCACTTACGTTTCAATATTTTAGTGACATTGCCACTTCACTAGATAAGGGTTTTTTCAAGAAACAGTAAAGAAAAGAGAATGGCGGTCAGATTCAGTCGTGGCTACAAACGTGTGGCATGTGCTTTTATCTCTTGGACTAATCCAGGTAGGAAAACGTTCTCACAACCACATAGAAAAACACTAACAATAATGTCTTCCAGTTACTTTAACTGAACTCATCCTGTTCAATATTTATCTTTAGCTATTTTAATTGTTGTTCTTCTTTTCAGAACAGTTGAAGAAGAAAAGAGAAAGCGAGACTGTTTGTATATGATTCCCATAATGCCTTCTGCTTATACTGTACCGTGTGTAGTAAAGTGGGGTGTGCGCTGCATAACAGTGTGTGTGAATGCCTGTTTGAATATGATACTTAATGCTCCACACTGTTGTGTTTAAGGAGCTCATCAACATAGCAGTCAATCATTCACTCCTTCAGGCTTTTCATTATTCTTTCAAAGAGCTATTTACCATACCGTAGCCATTTCTATTCCAAAGAAGCAAAATATATGAATTCACGCAAATATGCACAAAAACATGCACATACACATCGTAGCTACACACATTGAGAGTGGTACACTATTCTTGAAGCAGCTCTCTACAATTAAACAGGCGTATTGCTATGTTGCCCTTTCTCTTCTGTTGTGTTAACCTCATGCACTTGATGAAAACAACATTCTATATACGGGTTACAATTGATGTGCTATACTCTCCGAGATATTGAAGACGGGAGATAAAAAACTGATTTCAACTGATTTACAACCATAACCAATATAGTTTGTCTGAGTTTCTTTTCAGAAAACGCTCACAGTCTTTGAGTGCAGAGCTGATCCAGTGGAGCATTTGGGGGTTAAGTGCCTTACTGAAGGGCATGTTGATAGCAGTTGTTGTGAGAAGGGAGATCATGTCTCTTTAGTATTTACTTCTCCTATTTATCTTTAACCAACAATCTTCCAGTGAAAAGCAACCTCAAGGCTACAGTTTTAAAAGACCAAATCTCTACCAATCAATCAATGAAAACATAACCCAAAATGGATAAAAGCATTACAAAAATGTTTTGGTTTGAACAGAGTTGGATCCAGAAGTGTGCTGCAGTAACTCAAAAAGACAGAGCTGATGTAAATGGTGAATAATTGTCTCTTTACAGCTTATTGGTGTGTCGGCATTAGTTTGCCTCTCCGGAGAGAGAGGGAGGTCGGACAGAGCGGCTCCTCTGTCTGCTCGCGCCTCCGGCAGCTTGGCTGCTTCAACTGTCTGATCGACTAGGGAAGGGGAGGCCGAGAGAGAGGAAGAGACAAGAAAGGCAAAAGAGAGAGGAGTAGGAAAGAAAGGTGAGAGAGAGAGAGAGGCTGGGGATAGAAAAGGGAGAGGGAGAAACAGGGAAGACACTATGAGCAAAGAGAGAAAGTAAAATTAAAAAAAGAGAGACACAGTAAAGGCTAGGAGAGGGTCAGAAAGAATGAGACTGAGAATGTGAAGTAGGGACAGAGAGATGAATGAAGTTGCCAGGGATTTGAAGGGAATATAAAGGCTATAAATGGGAAGGGGTAATTAAAGTGGAAGAAATAAAGGAGAATAGAAGTAGATGTTATTAATCATAAGACAGAGAAATAGGTAGATACATGGATTCGGCCAAAGAGGGGAAACTGACAGTTTGGCCAGAGGGAACATATAGGTTGGATTGAGTGAGGCTCTTCAAACAGGACACCGTGGTCAAAAGCAAAACACAGAAATGATGCAAGCAAAGCAAGTGGGCTCAACCTGTAACTGAATGAAAATCCAGCTGGAATGTATTTTCATATGTTAATGTTATTTAACTGGTATCGCCAAAGGCTTTTATGGAAGGTTCAGAAAATACAAATTCAATGATGCAATGATCCAAATAGGGGTCTTACGTTATACCATCACTCTAAAATAACCTGATGCTGCTGCTTGTAATCCATGTTGGAACCGTGATTAAAGCAACAGCAAAAACAACGTAAAAAGATAAATAAATTATACAGGAATCGACTCTCTAAATCAAGCCAAAGGCAGATAGGGAGAAACATGGGAAGTAGTGGTGTGTCCAGAGGAGCATCAATTAAGTTAGTGTGGAAGACGATCATCACTCAAAGAAAGCTTCTGCTTTGACAGCAATCTATCTAACTCTGAGGATTCATCGATCAAAACTGTTCCGCAGGAAGCTGATTGAAAGTGTTGTCCATGCATTATTGGAAACTTTCTGAGACATTCAATGCATATTAGTTCTAAGTGAAACATAACTATCGGCAAATGCCTCGCCTGATTAATTGATTCGTCACCGCCTGCCATGTTTGTTTTTGTTGAGAGGACAGGACATCTCTCACTAAAACTAATGATGAGAGAGGAGCGCTGGTGTCAAACCGCAGTGAGTGCTTGACGGAGTGCTAGGCAGCGCATGTGTGGTTAGAAGCGTGTGCGAGTGTGCTGTTGATATTTATCATACATGCATGTGTCAATGGCTGTGTGTGTGTGTGTGTGTGTGTTCATGTGTGTGTTGTACTGTATCTTGCTGGAGGAACTCCACAGAAGGTCATGAATCCTGTTGAACACTAAGACACGCAGAGCATGATTGATATGCGTAGTTACTTTATGGAAGCCACTCATGCATGCCGATGAGCTCGTTCTCAATTCACTTCATTCACAAGAGACCATTTAGATGCTTTAGCCCTTCCCCTGCCATTACAAGTAGGAAAGGAAAGAAAAGGGAAAGCGGGAGGATGGCTTAAGAGCAGTGGAGAGTGGGTTCCCGTAGGAAAAAGTCACAGACGTTATTGATTGACTGCACTAGAGGACACACACATACACACACACACACACACACACACTCACAGACACACACACACACAAACATACACATACACACACACACTAATACACATAGGCACACAAAAACCGCCTTATGACCAAAAGCCCGACTGACTCGCATTGCCTCTTCATTTTTATCAGGATTTTCATCCGCAGACAGGATGGAGGGAGATCAAACTGATGTCATGACCCCATCCTTTCATTTTGGCTGGATTGGAGCTCCAGATATCAAAAGGTGTCTGGGACATTGATTTAACTTTCGACCTAACCGCTAAATGGCGTTGTAAATGAAAGGAGCCAGCTACAGTAACCTCTTCGGTGCCTTTAATCAACTGTAAATTGACGTTTAATAATGTATAGATTAATATGAAAACAGATTTAAACTATACAAGCATAAATATATATTTGTAACTGTTTTTTTGTTTCTGCTTATGTATATCCTGTGGAGTTTATAAAGTTGCCCAAATGTTTCCCTGTATCATGAAATGGATAAAAACCTCCCTTAAGCCAGTGTTCTGTCATGGAGTGTGTTGGTGCTGAATTCAGTGGCAGGTTTCCAAACCCCGACTGTGCCTGGATGAAGACTAGCAAACTGCCAATTTGTTCACTGCCTTGCATCTTATCATTTGATTCTGTTTTTTGGGCCTTCTACATAAGAATATTATTTCCTGTTTGCCCTTTTTCCTTCAGGCAGATTAAAAAGGAAATTGCAGGAAAAACTGATATCACTGATATTCATTAAAATGCATATTATATTACCAAGGTCCAGTCCCTCAACAGTAAATGGAGACATGTCATTAAGCAAAAGAACATTTAGCTTGAGTCCAATTACAGTGTCACGACCTAAAATCCTTTGTAAGCTACCATAGCTGATAAATATGACTGGCATTTTTGTTTACTCC